GGATGGTGGTCATGATCTCAGGACTGGTGGTGACCTCAGGGATGGTGGTGGGGACATCAGGGATGGTGGTGGTGGTCTCAGGGATGGTGGTGGTGATCTCTGGGATGGTGGTGGTGGTCTCTGGGATGGTGATCGTGGTCTCAGGACTGGTGGTGGTCTCAGGCATGGTGGTGGTGGTCTCAGGGATGGTGGTCATGATCTCAGGACTGGTGGTGACCTCAGGGATGGTGGTGGTAACCTCAGGGATGGTGGCAGTGACCTCAGGGATGCTGGTGGTGATCTCAGGGATGGTGATGACCTCAGGGATGGTAGTGGTGATCTCAGGACTGGTGGTCCCAGGGAAGGTTGTGGTGGTGCCAGGAGTCACGGTGGTCTCAGCGAAGGTAGTGGTGGTTCCAGAGGAGTTGTCGGTCTCAGGATTGGTGGTCTCAGGGAAGGTGGTGGTGATGCCGGGGATGGTGGTGGTCTCAGGGAACGTGGTTCTCTCAGGGGTGGTGTTTGTCCCAGGGAGTGTTGTGGTGGTGTCAGGGGTGGTGGAAATGGTCTCAAGGCTGGTGGCCATCCATGGGTCAGTGGTGGCCTCCAGACTGGTGGTCTCAGGGATGGTCGTGGTGGTGTCAGGGATGGTAGAAACAGTCTCTGGACTGGTGGTGGCCCATTGGTCACTGGTTTTGGTGGTCTCAGGTGTGGTAGGAATGGTCTCAAAACTGCTGGAAGTCCCTGGGTCATTGGTGGCCTGAGGGCTGGTGGAAATGGTCTCAAAGCTTGTGGTGACCCAGGGGTCACTGGTGCTCTCAGGGGTGGTGGTCCCAGATGTGGTGGTCCCAGGGGTGGTGGTCTCAGGTCTGATGGTCTCAGATGTGGTGGTCCCAGGTCTGGTCGTTTCTCCAGATGTCGTGGTTGCTCTCGTGGTTCCACTGGTGGTGGCTTCTGCTGAATAAATAGAAGAACCCTATCTCAGGTGGCTTTGGCGCGTCCTGAACTCGCTCCTCCTGCGCTCCAGGTGTTCTTCTGGAGCCTCCTCAACACCTGGTGGAAGTGTTCGGACCCAGCCGAACCCACCTGGAGCAGCTGGACCTTCTGGAACGTTCCCTCCAAGCCACAACTCCTCGGCTTGGGGAACATCCAGCACCTCTCCCTCCTCTTCCTCCTCCTCCTCACCCCGGGGTGTCCTCCAGGCCCTCTCCCTGCTGGGATCTCCTCCAGGTGCCGTTATCGGTGTCAGGTGAGCCGTTATCGATTAACCTCCTCCTTATCAGCCCCAGCTGATCGCTTATCTCTTATCTCTTATCTCTT